CTGTAATCCTTGTAATTTCTTCTTGGTCTTCTTTCCCTATATTTTTAGTTAGTATTTTAGTTTTCCCTTTATTTATTTTGAGGCCTGCCACTTTCCCAAATTCTTGTATTTTTTCAATCCAGTTTTGTAAATTATTAATTGGGTCTTCCACTATTCCCAGTAAATCGTCCGCAAAGGCTCTTATTTTATATTCGTATTTCCCGATTTTTACTCCTTTAACATTTGTATCTTCTCTTATTTTCATCATTAATGGTTCCAACGTCATTATAAAAATTAATGGGGATAACGGACATCCTTGTCTCGTTTGCATGTTTTCGAACTGCTAGGTTGGCAGAAGCTGGGGCCAACAGGAGCATAGCCCCTCCCATGGATTTGAACCGCCAACCTTCCAGTCAGCAAGTTCAGCAGCTCAGCGGTTTAACCCCCATTGCGCCAACATGGCCCCTTGAATTCTAAGCCCCTTAAATGAGTAGTACAAGCTCCACCTGCAAATCTGCCTATCCTTGAACCCATCAATCAGGAGAAGGAGAAGTTATTTTGTACCCTCCTTTTCCCTGGTACAATGTAGAATTAAAATATAATAGATAACTAAAACACATAGAGCCATTCAAAACATATAGATTAAATATACACAAACAAAAAATTAAAATGCGATATGTTGATTTAAAAATTGTGGTTTAATATCGACTTGATAGACTTGATAGACAGGTTTTAAATACCTTTTCAAAAATTCTGACAACATGTTTAGTTGTTGAAGCTCTTCTGGCAGGTGATTCCATAGTCTGGGGGTGGCCAGTATGTGGTTTGTAGTTTTTTGGTGGTCCTGGCAATTTTGCACATGGTTTACACACATCTTTTCTGAATGTGGCTGTATTATTGTAATCCGTTACATGCATTGTATTTAAGGCAGTGGTTCTCAACCTGTGGGTCCCTGGTGTTTTGGCCTACAACTCCCAGAAATCCCAGCCAGTTTATCAGCTGTTAGGATTTCTGGAAGTTGAAGGCCAAAACATCTGGGGACCCACAGGTTAAGAACCACTCATGTAATATGAATCTTATTGCTAGTCCCAACTAGACAAGACCCATTGAAGGAACTATTGGATAGTTAGTCAACATTAGATATTTGAATTCATTTGGACTACCAGATGAATTCAAATTGTTGTGCACTAATATAAATCTTCACATAGAGATATTTTTTTGCTTTTTTCAATGAATGGACTAATGATTTTTCAGGTGGATATTTTAATTTGAAACTATAGTGCTAATTGGACCAAGTAAACTAGTAAAATAATTAATGCATACATTTAAAAACATTTACAATGTTTTGTGATCAAAAAGCCTATACAAAACAGCATATGAATAAGAGGTAGAGAAGGCATATATTTCAAATATTCAAAGTACTTTGCATATATTATGCGAGGTTGCTTGCTTACTTCAAGCCCCTCTTTACCGCCGTATGACTCCCTCTCCCTTCCTCCATTAATTTGGGAAGCATGATTATGGAAATGGAATTAAAATAGTTTTGTGTCACCAAGCACTTAATACTGCTCGATATTGGCAGAGGACTTCCTTCCCCAGAGCCAAGATCCTTTTAGAATGTTTGTTCACAAATAAGTCTCTTCCAGCACAGGCCTTTTCCAATGTCAATTAATTTTTTCCTGTTTTCATGTCCTACTTCTGTATTGCTTCCTGTTGATCAGCACTGGGGGTTACTGATGAATAACCTCTTAATTGCATCTCGAATTTCCCCTTAATTGCCTTAGTATCAGTTGCTGCTCTTGCAATTGAGAGGGCCTTAATTGCTGGTTACTTTATATTCTTATATTTGAAACATTTGCATTATTTCCATAGCAATTTCACAGTTTTACTATTTATAACACAAAATCACTGTCAGATAGCTTTATCGGATTCATAATAAGAAGCCCCTGGTGGTGCAATGGATTAAACCCTTGTGCCTTCAGGACTGCTGACCGAATGGTGAGCTCCCATCTGTCAGCTCCAGTTTATCATGCAGGCACATGAGAGAAGCCTCCCACAGGATGGCAAAACATCCAGATGTCCCCTGGGCAATGTCCTTGCAGATGACCAATTCTCTCACACTAGAAGCAACTTGAAGTTTCTCAAGTACCTCCTGACCCGGGGGTGGGGTGGGGGGGACACAGATTCATAATGGTGAGATACTATGGCCTGACTCTAAGCCAGAATATAAGGCTATTGTGCAGAAAGAAATATATAGTGATTGAATATAGAGGTTAACAGCAGCGTTCTTTCATTTGATATAGGAATTACTGTTGCTTTACTCTGGACATGGTTGCTAGTATGGCTTTTGGGATCCAAATGGACTCCTTCAAGAACCCCAATGATGCGTTTGTGAAGAACTCAAAAATATTCTTTGAACCTGCATTGTCTAGACCCCTCTTGATCCTTACCAGTAAGTATATCTTCACACTGTGTATATAGGGCTCTTTAAGTAATGGCACATTCCACATTGAAAAGTCTTTGTGGTCGAGTTTTTGTAGAATGCAATATTCAGCCAATTCAACATACTCACGTGGTTATTATTATTGTTATCATCATCATGGGTAACTGTTTTTAAATACATTCATGGTCCAAAGCAAATTTAGAAGTCTCCCTCTCATGAAACGGTTGAGGAACTGCAATAGCTCGATGCTGTGGAATAGTGGAAGTCATAGTTTGGTGAGGCACCAGAATTCTTTGGCAGAGAAGGCTAAATCCAAACTGCAACCCCCATGATTCCATAGCATTGAGCCATGGGAAGTAAAATGATACCGAATTCCATTAATTCTACAGTATAAAAAGTATAGGTTTCCTCTTGACATTAAGTTAGTTGTGTCCGACTCTGGGGGGTGGTGCTCATCTCCATTTCTAACCCAAAGAGATGGCGTTGTCCATAGACACCTCCAAGGCCATGTGGCTGATATGACTGCATGTAGTGCCGTTACCTTCCTGCATGTAGTGCCGTTGCCTTCCTGCCAGAGCAGTACCTATTGATTTACTCACATTTGCATGTTTTCGAACTGCTAGGTTGGCAGAAGATGGGGCTAACAATTGGAGCTCATCCTGCTCCCCGGATTTGAACTGCCAACCTTTGTATCAGCAAGTTCATCAGGTCAGCAGTTTAACCTGCTGCACCATCGAGGGCTGCCAATTCTACAGTATAAAGGCTCACATTTGGGCAGTGAACATAAACTTTATGAATATTACACAGCAGAAGAGTTAGTAGAAAGGAAAAGTAGTTTAGGGCAAAGATTTTATTATGAATTTTTTTGGATGACCTTCTATTTTATGGTTCACTTGATTAGAGGTTACATTTACACAAAACTTTCCATCAGCCATGAGGCAAGTCTTTGAGTGGCTTAGGAGTCTGTAAATATAGTTTGATGCAGTAAAAGTGCAGTTAGATCTCTTTGGAGCAGTATGTAGAGACATAAATAAAGCGTTAAATGAGGCATTGCGCTTTCTAAAACAAGACAGAGTGGCAAAATTGAAATTAATGTAAACTTCCAATCACATTTTCACACCTGTCCTGTCTCTCAGGGTGGCTTGTAAGGTCCCCTCTTCCCCAACATATGCCTAATAATACATCAAATGAGCATTTTTCACCCTATTCAACAGTCTGGAATAATGAAATCTCCATGAATTCTTTTTCCTGCTTAACAATACTGTAAATCAGAGCAGGCTTTGAGAGGAGATTTTGCAAGAAAATGCTTGCTAACCCCAATAAACTGACTTTAGAAAAACTGAAATCTTTTAATCAGAAGCAACAACAAAAGAGACATTAGCATAGTTTGGAAAGGTTATGTTTTGAACATTTCCCAGTAACTTCCACCACTGACTATTCTCCCTGGGGGATTCTGGGTGGTGCAGCCCAAAATATAACTTTTCCAAACCATGGGAGGGGAGGAAAGCATATAATGAAAAGTTAAGAATAGTTGTATTCATTGCTTACGTTCCTTTTTTCGAACCTCTCTTAAAAGTTGCCTTTCCATTCATCATGATCCCACTGCTTCGGATTTTGCGAAATAAGAAACGAGAAGAAGCAAATGGATTTTTTATCAACAAAGTTAAGGATGCAATTGCTTTGAGAGATCAGCAAGACCCAAATGAGGTAAGACATTTTATGTGTTAGAAACAGTCCTAATGAACTAACACAGTCCATCTCCATCCTGCATCTATCAATGGCTAGCCTCTGGAAAACCCATAAATCCTTGCCTGTCATTTGCCCCCAGAATTTACTGTTCACGGGGATGTTGCCTCCATTTATTCTGTAGACTGGCATAAAACTGGCACAAAAGGCTTGGTACAAAAACTCAAAAGTGTGCCCAACTTAGCATACTAAACAGTTCAGTTGATTGTTTTGATCTTGACTCATACATGGTTTTGCACTTTGTGATGCTTATTCCAAGTGGAACTTGTGAAAAGGATACAAGATTTTTTTGCTTTTTTAGGGACTGTATCCACAATAAAACTAGTAAAAAAAATAGCACTCAAAAATTAATCTTGCAAAATTTGTGACCCATTTCTTCTTTCCATTTCAAAGCATGACATTTCTTGAAGCACCCACATTTAAACTCAGGATGTTTTTGCTTTCTGTTTCTGTTTCCCCATATTCTTGTTGTGTGCCTTCAAGTCATTTCTGACTTGAGATTTGCCCCTGGTGGCACAGTGGGTTAAACCTTTGTGTTGGCAGGGCTGAAGACCAACAGGTTGGAGGTTCAAATCCAGGGAGAGTGCAGATGAGCTCCCTCTGTCAGCTCCACCTCTCCATGCAGGCACATGAGAGAAGCCTCCCACAAGGATGATAAAACATCACAACATCTGGGCATCCCCTGGGCAACGTCCTTGCAGACAGCCAATTCTCTCACACCAGAAACGACTTGCAGTTTCTCAAGTCGCTCCTGACACAGGGGAACAATCTGATTTATGGCAGCCCTAAGGGAAAGCTATCACTGGGGGCCCTTCCAAACAGGCCCTATATCCCAGGATCTGATCCCAGGTTTTCTGCTTTAAACTGGATTACATGAGTCAGCACTGCTAGATAATCTGGGATAAACAGAAAACCTGGGATCAGATCCTGGGATATAGGGACTGTCTGGGAGGGCCCTCGGTTTTCTTGGCAAAGTCTTCCGAGGGAGTTTGCCATTGCTTCCCTCTGAGAAAGTGAGACTTCCCTGAGGTCATCCAGTGGGTTTCCATGGCTGATCAGAGATTTGAACTTTGGTCTCCAAAATCATAGTCTAATACTCAAACCACTACATCACACTGCTTTTTTCTTACTATGTGTATTGATTTTCCATTTCGGGGTATTTATTCCTTGAACCCCTAATAACTTACTAAAAACAATGCAGACTAAAAGCAAATTCAAAAACCAAAATATGTAATTAAAACATGTGATCTCACAACCTCTGAGGATGCCTGCCACAGATGCAGGCGAAACATCAGGAGAAAATGCTTCTAGTACATGGCCGTACAGTCCGAAAAACCTACAACAACCCAGTGATTCCAGCCATGAAAGCCTTCAACAATACATTGTAATTAAAACAATTTTCAAAATAAAACATTAAAAATTAAAACTATTGAAACACATTAAGAACTACATATCTAAATGGGTCACCGGAACCCACTTTGGTCTGATTTAGACCAATGATGAAAAATGACTGGAAAGAAACTTTTGGTATTGGGTTACAGCCACATGTCTACATTAAACAATGCAGTAGAGCTTGATCTGAAAAACAATGGGGTTCTGTTTTAGGTGCCTCTTCAGTAGCAATTTACCTCTTATATATGAAACAACGGGCAAGGGACATAGCTGCCTCCAGAATCACTTCCTGAGCACATTTAAGAACAAAAAAAAAGAAAGAAAGAAAAGTTTAAAGATTAGCATGCTTTTCTGGCACATTAAGAAAGCACAGATCTGTTAATTTCTCTACTCAAATAAAACCTTGAGAAGCGTGAAGGCTGTTGAAAGAAAGAAATGATCTCAGGATGTATTTTGAAAGAAGCTTTAAATGGTTCTAGAAGATTAAAAATGTTTTTGTTTACTCTACTGGCTGCCAGTCTGCTACCGGGCACAATTCAAAGTGCTGGCTTTAGCTTATAAAGCCCTAAATGGTTCTGGTCTGGTTTACTTATCCGAATGTATCTCTTCTTTATGAATTATCTAGGACTTTAAGATTGTCTAGGGAGGCCCTGCTCTCGATCCCGCCTTCCTTGCAGACACGTTTGGTGGGAATGAGAGACAGGACCTTCTCAGTGGTGGCCCCTCAGCTATGGAACGCCCTCCCCAGGGATATAAGATTGGCTCCCTCCCTTCTAACATTCCGCAAGATGGTTAAGACCTGACTTTTCAAGCAGGCTTTTACTACTGGAGCATAATTAGACAAAAATGAATTATGGAATGTCTGACGATGCAATTGGACCATGATTTCAGGAAGAAGACGTTGAGGATTTGTTTTTATAGATATTACTGTTCTTTATATTTTTTATGTTGAATTGTTTTTATAATTGTTTTTATAATTGTTTTTAACTGTACCCTGATATTTGCTATGGCATCAAATCGCTGCTGACTATGAACTGCCTTGAGTCGCCTCTGGCTGAGAAAGGCAGTATACAAATGCAGTAAATAAATAAATGTTGTAGGAAACTATCCCTTGTCTTTTTCCTCTTGTTTCTACCTCTGGTACCATCTAAAGGTAAAGGTTTCCCCTTGACATTTAGTCTAGTTGTGTCCAATTCTCAGGGGTTGTGCTCATCTTCATTTCTAAGCCGAAGAGCCAGCGTTGTCCATAGATGCCTCCAAGGTCATGTGACCAGCATGACTGCATGGAGCGCCGTTACCTTTCCGCCAAAGCAGTACCTCTTGATCTACTCATATCTGCATGTTTTCAAACTGCTAGGTTGGCAGAAGCTGGGGCTAACGGCTCACCCCGTCCATGGATTCGAACCACTGACCTTCCAATCAGCAAATTCTGCATCTCAGCGGTTTAACCCACTATGCCACCATGGCCCTTGGTACCATCTACTCTGCTATAGACTGTAGTTTGAAACTGTGGTTTAGATTCACATAATGGGTTCAATGCAGTTAAACTGCATTATATGAGTCTACACTGACCATATAATGCAGTTTCAAACTATATTATACAGCACTGTAGATAGGGCCAAGGTTTCTGCTCAAGAAGTAAAGCCCAGAAATACATCTACTTTGTTAAGTGACGTCTACCGGCAACTTATCAGGACACGGTACATAGGAAATAGGTTAGTAATACCTGAGGAAATATATCTTATTATCTTCATTTCCATTCCATTTGTTCTTTCCTTTAGCCAAGCATTTGTAATTTGATTCGAAATGTTCTTGGTCAGAGAAGCTATGAAAGCTATATTTTAAAATGAGGATGTAATTTTCTTTTGATATTGTTCAAATCTGGGACAGAGCTTAACCATTTGGTAGACTAATATGGCTGTCTCAAGTTGCTGATTTGGGGTGTCAAGAAAGGACTTAATATTCTTAGATTTAGGTCAGTAAGACTGTGCTTGTCAAAATGCTACCTCTGGTACAATAGTAACTTGACTTGCAACTTGGTTAAGAGATGAGGGAGTTATTTGCTGCTTATGCTGTGGGCAATAAACATGCATTTGGCCAGCCCTGAAGCATAATCTTTGTTTAGAAGAGACTGGAATAGCAATGGTGGGGAAAACACATCACTATTTCCCCATGTTTTCAATATTGACAAATAAAAACAAAAGAAACTTCAAATCAGATGATTGAATTTGGAAGCAAGCACGCTAGTAAAGTCAGATACAGATCTGAGATATGGTCTGAATTGATTCATTTCTGCTGTTCCTATTGCCCTTCATGATCTGATGTCAGCTAATCAGTGAGTTCCAGAACTGCAGAAATTAAGACTGCTGATTAATGAGTATGAGAAAAAGTAAGCATACTTCACTGCATGCATACATGATCAGCTGTGCAAAATTCTTAATACTCTGGAGATAATGAAGTTGGGATAGCTGATTTAAAAAAGAAAAGAAAATGAGAAGAGATCCTCCTCCTCCTCACTTTTCCATTCCAGAAATCCTATAATCATAGAGTTGGAAGAGGTCTTGTCAGCCAACCAGTCCAATCCCCTGCCAAAAATCAAGGCTGCTTACAACAGTTAAGCTATATATAGCTAAAAATACAGATATAAAATTTTAAAATACAATTCTGTCTCCAATGTTGTTCAAGATATATATGAATTTTCTTGATAGCTGCACTAATATGGTGGAACTTCCTCCTACCAGAGGCAGAGTTGGCAACTCCTGTGATCTCTTTTCACCTGCAGGCAAAGAGTTTTCTAATTTATTATGCTGACTCCCAAATATGCACAAAATTTTATGCTGATTCCCAAATGCCAGAAAATCTATGCTGGAAAATGTCCATATGCCTCCTGACTGCAATGATCCCCTGTCTGATCTGTCCTCCTCGGGGTCTGCAAAGTGGGTCTCTGGCTGTTTCTGCTGCTTTGCAGTCAGTGGTGTTGTCCTTCTCTTCCTGCTCTTGTCCAAGTTCCTCTTCTGCTGGTCTTCTTCTGGTTTGCGGTCTGCAGGTTTTCTCCTGCTTGCAGTCTGCAGTTTTCCTCCTCTGGCTATGGCCAACTGCCCCACATCATAGACAAATGCCCAATTTCCCTCTTCATTCATTTTCTCCTGGGTCAAGTCTGTTTCTGGTCTTGGGTAGGTTGTTGTCCTTCTTCACCATGTTTCTGGTTGGCCAGGGTTGTTTTTGCTGGGCTCTTTTGATTTCTTCCTTCACTATCTCTCCCTTGCCGGCCAGGTTCTACCCATCCCATCAAGGTGTCTGGGTTGCCTTATGCCAGTACCCATTGAAAGAGGTCTGGTCTCAAACCATCCTTAAACAGTGTATTGTCGAAGTCTTTCATGGACAGAATCACTGGGTTGTAAGTTTTTCGGGCTATATTACCATATTCTAGAAGCATTTTCTCCTGACGGTCTGTCTGCATCTAAGGCAGGCATCCTCAGAGGTTGTGAGGTCTGTGAACATGACCTCTAGAACATGGCCATATAGCCCAAAAAACCTACAACCCATCCTTAAACACTTGAACCCTGAAG